TTGCCAAAGCTAGAATAGATTTAGATGACAGAGCAAACCCCAAGATGAATGTTTTCCTGGGACCATCTATTAGTTTAATAACTCCTTCGCTACCTTTGGGTTCTTTTAAGTATGCAATGGTCTCATGTACATAATACTTAAGTTCATCCAGATTTTCCAGTCTAATAGGGCTCTTGTAGTCTTGTCTTGTAATGTTTTCCATATTTACTTTTTGAATTTAAAATATCAAACAAGTTATTTATTTTCAAAATAAATTCTGCTGTTTCAGCACTGTCTAGAAACTGTGGCACTTTAATATTTTTCAGGTACATTAATCCAGCGGCTACAGAATTGCTAAGGGTTTGTGCTGCAATTGCCACCTTCATTTTTTGATTATGCCACTTGATATGTTTTGTTTTAAGCTTGTTGCCAAGGTGAAGAACATCACTCTTTTGGACATTGTATAGTTCTGTGATATAATTCCAGCAGATTTTGGCACCAGTGTCTGTGTGGAAAACTTTTTTGTCCCCCAAGCTGTTACGGGCAAGCTTTAACATGTGACACACATCCAAAATGACATATACAGTTTTGTTTGGCCGTGATGCGTGGTTGAATGATCCGTCAAATTTGGCAAGGTGCATCCAAGGCACCTAGCAGTCGTCAAGTTTTTTGCACAACCATCAAATACTACTGCTTGGACATCTAGTGCTGCTTCAGTCAGTAAGTTGATTGCTTCTTTGATTAAACGTGCTTGCATTTTACCATTGACACGATCTACCAGAAAATAGGCAACGGGATTAAACCATGGCTTTTTAAGTCCAACTGCCATAAAAACCAAGGCATTAGTTGCTATACTGTCTTGTTCCTCTGCTAAAATACATCCATAATCTGTGTTGCCAGCAAACTTTTTGTTCTTTCTATCCCATAGTACTTCTTTTTTTATAGACATTTCATCCACTAATATTGCACAATCTTTCTCATCTTCATCCAGGCTATTCTTCAATTCATCAATGACATTAGTCAAAAAACCGGGCTCACAATCTATGGCTGCTGCCCATGATCTTATGGTTGCTGGACATGGTAAGTGAAGTGATTTTCTAACAAACCGGTAGCTCCTTGGGCTATAAAAATGCAATGACACTGCAAATTGCTTGATGGACTCGCTGTACCGTGAGGCTTTCGATTTTTGGTTATTTTTGTGTTCATTTATGAATAGCTCCTTTGTCATGTGACCAAAGTTTGACATCAAATTTTCATTTTATTCTTTTGACAAATATTTCAGATCTCCCAGCTTCTTCAGTAACCCCTTAATGGTTTTATCCCTTCGAAGACTTTTTTTAGATAGGCTCTTGATCTTTTTTCTTTTATTTTCTAGGGACTTCTTCATTTTTGGAATAACCTTACTAGGAGATGTGCAGTAGATGTGGTCATGACCAACTGGCTGAAATTTCCTTTTAGGTTTCTTGTTGGGAACATCTGGGACTGCATCGGTAGTGGCTGCTTTTCTCTTCATGGGACATTTTCGTGGGTTAGTTTTTTTTTTCAAGGTGTGGTGGAAAATCAAAAACAGAGGGGACAGTATCTGACTTAAAATACTTCTTGAGCTTGTTGGTAGCACCCATCATATAATCATATGGTGTGAAGTGTTTCTCGCACAAGACAGAATATTTAGATGGCTTCCACTGATCCCGTTTCATGGCCATCACCCAACTATTTACCAAGCTGGTGTTTTTCAAAGGAAATCTATAGTAAAACCACTGGTTGCATTAACTCAAATACATTCTACTATCACTGTTGATGGGTGGGGGCCAGTGCTGTACTGGCCCCCACCCATCAACATACAGCAGTTCCCTGTATTTTCCCTTTTTAAGAATATCAATAATGGAGATATTATGGCCAAATTTGTCATGCATCAGTGGTCACATAGTTTTTTACTATCACATTATTTTTCTCTTGAATAAAAAAGCACCGTTTATGCAGTTTTTTTACTTACTTGTGAAATGACAACGTGGTTCCGTCACTTGATTTCACTCTCCTATTCGTGCAGTTGTACGCTGCACACGAATTCGGCATTTTGCCCAAATAGTTAACATGCACACAACTGAACGAAAACGAACGAATATTCAATTATGTTAATAAGGATAGCTTGTTTTATATGTCAAGATTACAAATAACGATGCAAATTGCACTTTTCATCCTTGTCTTTATGGAAATATTAAATGCAAGTATACTTTAATAATGCCTTGATGTCTTTCAATCGTAGTCACGATGGACGAGTTATATGAGACTGCAACCGCTCCGCAATTTTTATCAGTTGTACTTAATCTTTTATTCTCCGTTTATTTGTGTGTACTGAGTGGGAATATTGAATAATTGTTAGAGGAAGAAAGGTATCTCAGCTTAAATAACGAAGTAAACCATGCATTAATTGTTAACCGCTAATCTGTTACTTCAGCGTTTCTATAAATTATTATTCCTTGCAATAACTGGTGCCCAAGGGAACATACCAACTCCACGTATTGAGGGAGTTTCGTTTCCTAACTTTGTGAGTTGTGAGTTTAATGGTCCGGATTTTTCAACGAATTACAGCAATGCCTGCCTGTTAATGTGAACATTTGTTTTGGAATTTAACATGGCAAGTGTCTAAAATATTGAATATTTGACAATGGATTTCGAACAACTTATAATTGTATTGTTCTTGCGAGTATATGAGTCCGTTCGCTGTGTAACACCAGTCGCAAATTCATAGCCTGTGTGGCAGGCTGTTAGCTGTCTTAACCAATGAGAATTAGCTCGTTTGTTACGTGGAACGGTATGTGAATAGTTAACCTGCACCGTAGCACGAGAACGAACGAATATGCAGGTATGCAAATGCTTTTGGTCAAAAGCTGAAATCTGATTGGATTGCATAATTAATCTCGTACGCATCGGACGAGTAAAGACGAGAGCGAACGAATATGTAATTATTAAGCAAGAGTTAATTTGCATGATCATGAGATTTTTTTTACAAATTGGAAAGCCCAAAGGGATTAAAAATATAAAATTAAGTCAAGACGTACATTTAGTTATTTGTACTAAAAAAATGACACCATTGCAATAATACGCATATAGCATTGTTAAGAACTAAAAACTGAAGCATGGCTCCTAGACGAGTCAGATGCATTAAATTAATAAATGAACAATATAGACGAAATGGTCCAGTTTGGGATATTGTTATAAATGACATCGCGCGAGATGAACGTTTCATGAACATGCCCATATGCTATAATGCTAATACAGCTCTAGCACATAGCTGTATGCTAATACAGCTCTTTCAGCTCTTGATTTTTGACAAACATGTTGCATAACGCACGAAAAAGCTGCCTAATGGCAACGGTGCTTGGAAAGTAATGAGCTTAAAGCATCGTTTCTCTCAATGTCCAATGACATTAGGGCCATTTATACGGGACAAAATAAGACGCGACTTACATAAGACGCGACTTAAATAAGACGCGAGTTTGTCGTATAAAAGGTACAAAATTCTTATGTAAGACGCGTCTTGGATAAGACGCGTCTCACATAAGAACAGGACTTTTAGCTGTTCTTATTTAAGTCGCGTCTTAAATAAGAAATTTTGGACAAAAATTCTAACTACACATGTCCGGAACTTGAAACAACTTTAAAATTATTAGACTTGCATATTAAAACAAAAACAACCGAAACAACATTATAGCTATAGCAAGTAAATAAGAATACAACATTATAGCTATAGCAAGTAAATAAGAATAAAGCCGTAGAGAACCATTTATGCGATATGTAAGTCGCGACTTATGTAAGTCGCGACTTATTTTGTCCCGTATAAATGGCCCTAATGATCGACTGTTCCATTGATGCGTTAATTACTGGCAAATATATTACGGAGAAAGCGTTGAAGACATTATCTAGCTGCTTAAAACGGATAAAACTGAGCTTCAGACCCAGTCCATTTGGTTGTCCATATACCATATAAAGTTTCGTGTATCATTGTACAACTACTGTATCTTGTCATTACATACAAGTTGACGCCTATACATTACTGCATACTGGGAATACTCGAAATTTAGCTAGCTTGATAAATTTATTTTCTAAACTCAAGTAACGACATGCACGAGGACATGCATGAATTCCAATTGAACTCTTTCCCAAGGCCAAGAGGTTTTAACAACACCTACAGTATCAACTGTGAGTTTTCGTTAAGTTATTTGGAAAGATTAACCGAATATTTGCCATGCATGCATACTTTGTTAGATACTTGCTTAGTTATAGTGTTGTTGCCGATTGGCAACGAAGTCTACTACTTGAATATTTTAGAGAATATGGAATAGTGTTTTGAATCGGAAACGAATAATTTGGCACAGAATAGTTTACAAAGTTGAACTTATACAAGTTATAGGCATGTTTCAAACGTTGGAACACGGGAAACGCGACGATTGTACTATAGGCCTGATTTGCATTAAGTTATTCTGGAATTTTCACAGGCTGTCGCTTAGGGGCTGTTCATATGGGCAAAAGTTATCCCGGTTAACGAGAGAACTTTTCGACTAGCCAAATACTTTTGTTCTGTTCATATGGAGAAATATTATCCCACTTACCGGGAAAAGTTTCCGGCTGTGACGTAGCACTGAACATCAACTGAATTGAAAAGTTGCTGACACGACAAAAAGTTATCCCGCTAAGCGGGAAAGTTGTGTTCATATTGGGAAAACATTATCCCGGTCACCGAGATCTCGCCTGTCAACAAGCGAGATCGCGGTACACGGGAAAACTTTTCGTCTCATATGAACGCAATGTAACTTTTCATATTATTTTCGTAAAGTTACACTGCGTTCATACGAGACAAAAAGTTTTCCCGTGTACCGAGATCTCGCTTGTTGACAGGCGAGATCTCGGTGACCGGGATAATGTTT